TTAGAATTATTTTGACATACAAAAAATTGTACTTTGATGTCTTACTGATTGAGGAATGATGAAATGTTTGTTTTAAAAGGAATAAAATTTTTGATTTTCAAAAAAAAACATACACATTGTTTTATAGCTTTTCTATAAAAAAATAGGCTCCAAATTTATTCTAGACTGAGGGGTGGTACCTATCTTCACTCGTAGCTCAAGTCCCACTTCAGTATCACGAACACCATATTCTTGCTGGATGCTGAAACTACATTTCAGTGCCAGAGTAATAATCTCATTTAAATGGCAACGCTCTACCTTCCAGAGCGCCAACAGTGCATCACCTGGAAATAAGAGAACAAATCATTGAGCTTATTCCATTTTCAAGAATGTATTTTCAATAGTTTTACAGAATTATAAAAAGGAGCCTATTTGCATTACTGTTTATTCATGCAATAACATAATGATCTACACCCTATTGTGCATTCTTGGTTACTAGCAATTATAAATTCCCTCTCCTCATAATAGGAGGGATTAGTAGGAAATGGTTATTCTTTCTCAGGGCCTATGCACTGAGTTATGATGAAGTCGCATCTAGGGCCATGTTAACAAGAGATCATGCTGATTTTACTAATGTTTTGTTTGTACAATATTATTATTTCAAATACATATACATACATACATACATACATACATACATACACACACATACACACACATGCATACACTTTTATTATTGTGTTTGCGTCATTTTTATCTTTCAATGTGTTATTTAAATGAGGAAATCTGATTAGGAAATCTCATTATTTTATTTTATTTATATCTGTGTTTTCAAAGTTGGCAATTTTAAGATGTGTCAACTTGGTAGCTGGGGAATTCTGGGAGTTGAAATCTACACATCTTAAAGTTGCCAAGTTTGAAAAACACTAATTTTCTGTATATCAATAACCAAAGTCATTATTTAATAAAATAATTGCCATTGCTTGAAGCACCTATATTCTTTACTCTTTTTTTTTAATAAGAAAGTGGTACCTTTAGTTGGGAATCCAAGATAATTCTGGACTCAGAAATGCAGTGGAAAGATACAGACCCTTGCAAATTATAAAGAAGATTCTTGCAGCAATTTCATAAGCATTTTTAAAAATATTGGCTTTTGTGAAAATAGGATGTCCTCTTATACAATTCAGGCCAATTCTTCACTTGTATTTTATACTATCTCTTAGCTATTGCTAAAGTCGCATAAATCCTGTCCATCTTATTATTACTATATATCAGTACAACATTGATTGAATGATACTAGAAATCATGATGAAGAAACAGTCTAAAATGACTTCCAGAAAAGATGGCCAACTGGATTCACACCCAAGGAGGGATTTCTGAAGAGTTTTTCCCTGGGCTGTAGCTCTTCAATTACTAACAGAAGAAATTGGCATTCCTTCAGTTTATATGAACTGCCAGCATGACAGTTGAATATTGGACCACTTGTGGGTGTGGGGGCAAGATCCTGAACTTTCAACTGGGTGGGGAAAACCAGGAACCTTTCATATTCGGGTTTTCCCAGATGTGCCAACATGGCTGTCAGTTCGCTTACATGATACTGTCATTCAATTGGGAGGAGGGGGGCCTTGGAGTTAAATTACTAGCAGTACCTGTAACAACTGAGATTTACAACTGGTTTCCTGTTGCCGGAAGGCTGGAGGTCCCAGAATCTCTGGAGGGATGTTTATGATGGCCATGTGGGATATCTTACTTTAATGTTTAACTAGAGATAGCCACGGGAACGTGTGTGTTATTAGACTCTCGGGCAGAAGAGTTAAGGAAACATCTTCACACTTGTGAATTGGCTAGAATCTGCATTCTGACAAAGGGGTGGGGTCATTATCAGTTTAATCCCACTTGCATTGCCTAAAGGGTTTCAGATGCTGCTTTGCCTCTAACGGTTTCCATTCTGCTTAATTAATTTCCTTTTGAAATAATCTGTTTCAAGAGTCTTTACTTTCTTAAGTTAGGAGAGGAGCCATTACAATGGCTCTCTTAATAAATTGGAACTTTGAGCAATACTTTGCCTTGGACTCTGATTTAATTTTGGATGCTATTTAGAACTCTTGACAGTTTATCTCACACTCTCTCTGAAGCTGCTACTGCTTGCTCTGCCATTATTTCACTATGCTGACCCCTTGCATACTCTCCTGCAACAGATTCAAAGCACTGAAGTTACTTGCAGTCCTCAGCTGTATTGGAGGATCTTGAGGGATAATTCAAAAACTCTCCCTAAACCAGGCCCCCTCCTCCCAATTGAATGGCCATGTTGGCACATCTGGAAAAACCCAAATATGAAAGCTTCCTGGTTTTCCCCACCCAGTTGAAAGTTCAGGATCTTGCCCCCACACCCACAAGTCCATCACATGGTCCAATATTCCACTGTCATGCTGGCAGTTCCACCCATCCAGTTCCAGTCAGGTACAGAGACAAAGGATGACCTTGGATTCTATAAAAGAATTTTATTTTGGCTACATAGTGTTTAACTCCATACTCTCCCCCTTCCCATTTTCCTACAATAGAAATGCATAGTAGACTAATAGAAAATGTGGTAGGAATTCTGGGAGTCCACATGTTTCAGCTGAGAGACACTGACCTATCTAGTATCTCTTGGGTTCTATCTAATGTTGTAAATCCCTGCTTATGGATCTGGTACTTAGTGCCTGTTCTTGTGCTGCTATGATCAGTGATCAGTGCTGCCTTTCACACACACACACACACACACAGAGGGGGGGGTGGAGAGAGAGAGAGAGCGTGCACTCAGTACTCTGGAGTTGTGTGTATGTGTGTGTATTAATTTTACCATTGCCCACAGAGTATATAGACACATATTCCCCTAGGGACAAATTCTAGAAGGGCAACTGTGTTACCCTGGTATTGCAACTAGGAAAACGAAACTCTTGAAACATACTAAAATAATTGTATTCTGTGCTTCTGAAGATCACAACTACAATCAGCATTTCCTGTGGATTCATTAGAAGCTAAGGAGATTGGTAGCATTAGCTACCAAGAGTAACACTTCACAAATCCGATGAACTGGTGCTAATTCATAGTCGTTTATGCCGGAAGAAATTTGTGCCGCAAGAATTACTTTTTGATCCTTTTCCCTTTAGGCAAACTGGATTTGCAAAAGCCTTGGGGGCAAGGAAACAGCAGCTGATCTGAAGAGTGCTGGATTTCAAAAGCCCAGGTGTTCAGTGCTACAAGGAGAAGAAGTGCCAGGAAGCGATCGGCCTGGAAGGGGAAGGGGTGAAGCACATTCAGCTAGTTCACTGAACTGCACAAAGAGTTAGCTATTGCCGTGACCCGTCAAAAGCGCGGAGGACAAAATCGCGCTCGACAAAAGCGCGCATGTGACGTCATCACAGCGCGATGAAAAA